CCCCCCCCCAGGTCTGGGGTCTGTTGAAGCTGGGGAGTGTAAGAGCAGGCAGCGAGTCTGGCAAATCTGGCAGCTGAGCCGGGTTCCCACGACCAGAGTTTCAGGCCCTGTAGGCTGGGAGAGGCCTCCGCAGGCTGAGGGCCACAAAGGGCCCCCACCTCATTTCCTTTCCTCTGCTGCCCGTTTGGGTCTGACCCCGCCAGCCATTGCCACTCCTCAGTCCTATCCCTGCTGGCTGGTCTGCATACTCAGGCCTGCCGTGCATGTGGACACGGGCTATCTTGCTGCTAACCTCCCATGCCCTGCTCAACAGCTGCTGAAGCCAGCTCTGCCTGCCAGTTTCTAGGGTGAGAGTAGGGCTTCAACATGTGGATTCCTAGATCTTTTCCTGGATTTCCATGTGGACCCATGGGGGCCTCCTTCAAGACCTGTGTCCAGCCTTTGGGTTGAAAGACAGAAAGTCGCTTCTCCAGGCTCAGGTCCTTACCCTCTACAGGGGTACTTTGGTAGCCCATTTCTTCCCAACAGGGTCCCGTAGGTCACCTGGCGTGCCAAATGTGTTTCTCTGCTCACCCCAACTCTCTTATACCACCCCCAGCCCCTTCTCCAGCTTCTGCAAACCCTCTCTTAGATCCTCATTGTTTAGCATTTCCTTCTCACTCCCTGCTCTGATTGATTGTTAGGTAAGTTTTTTTTTCTTCTCTTCAGTCACTTCTGAGGGAAACTAAGATACAGAGCAGTCATACCGTGTTTAGCCCAGTGACCCTAGAGTGGAACCAGTCCTAAGCCCATTGGGACATGTCCTCTGCATGGAGTCCCCTAATGTTCCTCCCAATCCACGGGGTCAGGCTCAAGGGTCATCACGCTCAGGTGCTGCCCCTTTGTGTCCCTTACCTGAGCCGCTGGGTGGGTGTCTCCTCTCCATGGCCACCAGATCTTAACTCTGGAATTATAAGGTGGGGAGTGTTGCATTACTAAGCTGCTCACTCCACTTTGATACTGAAACTCAGTTTCCCCATCAGTAAAATGAGAGGTAAATTCCAAGTGCCCTCCCCAGAGTACTGAGCAGGAGAGGTTGACTTAGAGATGAATCAAAGTCCCATTGGGACGGGGGCTGATAATGTTCCTCCTTAAGGGTAATAGAGCTTAACTTGAGTCCTTAGTGCCTCTGGGCACGAGGGTTGGAACTTTCTCATTTCTGACATAGAACCCCTGGGCAAGCTAGGTACACACATGTGAAGGGGCGGAGGACCCTCCTGAAGCAGTGGCAAGCTTGCCCAAGGACTTGGAAGCCAGAAGCCTATGTAACTCCCACCTGCTGTTTGTATTCTTTTTCCTAGTCTTTCACTGAGAACTGGTAATTTTGCAGTCACAGAGCCCTAAGAGGAGATGAGCTAATGCAAAGAAAGCCCAGGGTCACCAGCAGAGGAATGGCAGGTCTTCCAACTGGCCAGTGCCCATTCCTCTGCCTTCTCCTCATACCTTGCCCCTGGCCTGTCCTCAGTCAGATGTGGGGTGGGCACCCCCAGTGAGGTAGGTGTAGGGACTTGCTGGAAGCAGGACCAAAGTAAGACCTGGAGGTGGGTTGGGGGGATGGTCATCTCTGTCCTGCTGGAGCTCCTGGGACTGTGTGTTTGTGTGTGCTGGATTTGTTCACTAGATGGGGCACTTCCTCTGGGGCAGGAAGCTTTGATTTCCTGTGGTGGTGGTGGGGAGGATTGGGAGTGGGGGGCTCTGTTCAGGCCATCCCTGATGTTGCTGTTCAGAACCACAGAGGGCCAGAGTTTCTGCCTGAGGCTGCTCCCCCCACCCCAGAGGAGGCAGGAAGAAGAGCACTGGCCAGAAGGCCCAGGCCCAGGAGAAGGCTGGAGTAGTAGCCTACTAAGGGCAGTGAGCTGGGGGGTGGGCAACACAGCAGGAAGCCCGGTCAGCAGGTGACCCTGCCGGGTATTGTGTTTCCTTGTAATATTTTCCCCTGTTTCTGTGGTAACCTTCCCTGGGGGCCCCAGGCTGTAGGGCTGCAGGAAGGTGCCCCCTAGACAGCCCTTTCCTTAGAGGCCTAGGCATTAGGAGGCCTCCCCAGATCTAGCCACCTCCCTAACTCTTTTGGCTCCCTAGGACCAGGGCCTGGGAATCTAGGCGAGAGGCCTAAGCGAGCACTGACTTGGAGCTGGGTGGAGGCCCCTTGGCATCTCCTGGGGGGAGGAGAACAGAGGTGGGTGCGGGACTTCGGAGAGGGCTCCCAGGCAGCTTAAGTTACTGGCATCAGCCTTTACATCCCTTGTCCCACCTCTTCACTGCCCTCCTCCAGCAGTCTTCCCCCCATGAGGGGGATGTGGCCATGCTGCCTGGGACAAGGGGTGGGGGTGGCAGAGGAGGGAAGGATGTTTTCATCAGCAGAGCACAGCTCCTTTGGTCCTGGACCAGTTCCCAGAGGCAAAATAAGTTCAGGATAGCATCTGTTTAATGTGGGTCTCCATTTGGGGGGTGTGTGTGCATGCCCCTGAGCTACATAGTGAGACATGGTGGTCTCATGGTCGTTTGTGGTCCATGTGGCAGCTCTGCTGCACGTTGGGGAGCATGCACGTAGGATACAGATGTGCATCACCTGTCTAGCATGGACCTTTGCCATTTATGAGTCTCTGTGGGCTATATGGAGTATACCCATTCCAGGGGTTATCATTGTGCAGGAGTGGCTTTTTAGTAGAAGTCCAGAGGTCAGCTTGTAGAGCAGTCTCACCTGAAGTCCAGTTCCTGGACCCTTCTCATCAGAGTTACCTCAGGCCCCATTCCAGACCAACTCAGTCAGAATCTGCAGGTTGGGGCCTGGGGGTCTGGATTCGAACATATGCTTCAGGTGATTATTGTGCAGGGCCGCGTTGTGTGTGAGGACCACCACTCTGGGCCAAGCTTTTCATGTTTTCTCCTGAGGAAACCAAAACTCATAGAAGGTATGTAGTTTGTCCATGGTCACAGAGCTCATAAGAGGGAAAACCAAGACAAAACTTCATCTTTCTAAGACTGTTCTGGACTTAGCGCTGACTGCTCAGACCCATGTGGTGTCTGTGTGCACGTGCCCACACGCCCTACCTGAGGTCATGAAGTGGACTCTATGGGGCTGTGCAGGTGCCGATTCTCACGGCGGCTGACCTTCCCCCGGGGTCCCAGCCTTCCTGACCTTTCTGTTATGTCCTCCTCCTGAGGGGAATCTGGGAACTGTTGAGCATCAACCCTGAAGGCTGGTGTTGACAACCAGGGAGCCCCCGTCACGGAGCTGATCATTCAGTGATTTACCATCCATTGGCCACTCGCTGAGCCTTGCTGCATGCCAGGGCAACAAACACACAGGCACGACATCTGGCCTCAGGGAACTTCCACTCTCGTGCAGGAGACAGACAGCAGCAAGTAAGCAAGTAAAGGAATGAGTATATATCTTATTATGCTTCATGATAAGCCCTAAGAAGGAAATGAACTGGGTGCAGCAATAGAGAATAACGAGGTAGAACTTCCTTAGGGGAGGCCTGCCTAAGAGGGTGACATTGAAGCATTTTCTCACCTCCTGGACTGGAAGAGAGCCCACAGAGCCTTTTGAGCCATGCCTGGGAACTCCTTGGATCCTGGTAGGGGACCTGGGCTGAGCACTGGCTGAGGTTTGATGCTGAATCGCTAGCCTCTCACCTGGCATGGAAGACAGCAGCTTCCTCTCCTCTAGCAGTCCCCACAGGCTGGCAGAGGGGGTGAGAAGGGAGAGCCCAACATGGCTGAACAGGCCCATACTGAACATAGGAGAGGCAGCCTCTCTCCAGAAGCTCTCAAGCCCCGCCCCATTCCTGACCCTCCTGCTTCACCTTCCTCCCACCTCATTCTTTTCCTCCCCACCTCCCCACCCTGGGAACAACTGTGCCAAGTCCCTCCCTCTAGGTCTAGCCTGGTTGCCTCTGATTACTGGGGTTCATTTACCTGTCTCTGGAGTTACCCAGGAGAGAGGAGCTCAAGGCTTGAAGAGTCCTGGGCCCTGGAAGAGAGGACGGAATCAGAAAGAAGGCTGGGACCAGGACCAAAGAGGGCAGGCCTCAAGAGAGAGTGGAGGCTGGCCGAGCAGGGCCCAGGATAGGAGAGGGTGCAGAGAAGACCTGAGCCCAGATAGTGTTGGCTGGGTTCTCCAGAGCCTCTCCTGGGTCCTTGGAATCCTCTCCTCAAAATGGGTAAGACTTTGACACCAGAGAGGCAGAGTGGTGGTGTTCAAGGCACCTGCTCTCATCAGCTGAAAGGAAATGCCCCCTTTGCTCCACCTGCAGCCCTGTCCCTTCGGCCAGCTCTCAAGAGGTTAACTTCCACATCAGCAACTTGGGTATGAAGTGTCTGCTCTAGGCCTGCAGCCCAAGATCCTCTCACCTTCAGCCCCTTGTCTGTGGAAGGTTTTCTCCAGGGCACCTGGAGCGGAACTTTGGGCTGTAGGAAGGTGCAGCCCATTCCTTAGAGGCCTGAGTATTCGAGAAGCCTTGACTCAAGTCAGGGGAGGGCAGTCTGCTTTCCTCCATCGCGCACTGACTGCCAAGGCTGAGTTCCACCCTGAGCCTCTCTCCAGGCCCTGAGTGCTCTCATCCTGGACCCGTGTGCCTCCTAGGCCTCCCCTGCCCAAGCTCGTCAGTGCCCCCAGAGGGATGGGGAGGGGACTTCTCCTAATGAGGAGGGCTCTGGCTTAAGCTCACCATCCCCACCCTGTCTTCATGCCACTTCCTTTTTCCCATGCTGCCTGCAGGGATTGGAAACCCTGATGGTCAAAAACAGTGGGTCTTCAGGGCCAGCCTTACACCCTGGAGATAACAAAGGGAACCCCACTGTCTTTAGTTCAGCTTCAGTTTTGCCAGGGCCCATTCCTAGGAACCTAGCTTTGACTCCTGCAGTAACCCCCAGCCCAGAGATTCCAGCCCCCTCTCCCATCCCCCAGGATGGCAGGGAGAAGCAGAACAGGCTGGGAGTTACAGGTTCGGAAAGAGTCTGGGGTGGGGGAATTTGGTGACTGGGCTGTAACCGCCTTGTTTTGTTTGCCCCACAAACCTGCACGTCCCGGGCATCTGCTGCGCCCTCTGGGCCGTTCAGGTTGTAGAACTGCTCTCAGAATGACAGACTGGTGGCACCCGGTTGGGGCAGAGGTGGGGGTGAAGGGGGGAGCCCCAGGCAAGGGGGAGCTGGAGGGTTAAAAATAGCAACAGCCGGGTTTCGGTTAGCAAATGTGGAGGCGGGGAGCTGGAGGCGGGGCGGGCACAGGCGATGTTTGCCCACAGCACAGGGCTGTGCTTCCCCTGGTCCCGGGGAGTGAGTCACAGAAGCTGCCGAGGTGCTGGCACAGCACTCCCACCCCCTCGGGCCGGGAGAGGGGCTGGGCACAGGCGTCAGTCACCCCAAGGTTCACCCCTAGGGTTCTAGAGCTAAAGAAGGGCAGGACTCTGCCTTCTACTCCATTAGGGCCATCTTGAGAGCTAGCCAGCATGATTGTGATGTGGGGGCAGAAATGTGTCCTTCCGAGGCCAAAGACCTGGGTTTAAATCCCAGCCAAATGGCTGGGAAACCTTGTCCAAGGATGCTGAGCGCTCTGAATCTTGGTTTCATGGTCTAAAAAAAAATTGCTGGAGCTTGCCATGAGAGAGACAGAGAGAGAAAGAAAGAGAGAGGAAAGTGAGAAAGCTCTCCCCGTGGAGAATAGTTATGCTGCAATACCTTCTCCATCTCTCCCTCCTTTTGGGATTTTTAGGCATGCACGCACATGTGCCTGGCATGTTTTTCAAGCCACTAGCTCTGGAACTCAGACTGCACGATTGACGACCGTGTAGGGTCCAGCTGTTCTAACCACCATGTCTCAAGCTGACTCAGTTTCTTAGTCTTTCAAGCAGGATTTTGATATGCATATGTAAACAATTGGTAGATTCTAAAACACCCTACATATGTTAGTGATCACCTTAGGCCCTTCCATGCCCATTGCAAAGCCTGGCACAAGGCTCTTCCTGTAAAGATCGAAAGGGAGGATTGGGTGGCCTTGGTAGAAACTCTGACTCTCCTGCAAGCACTTAAGTGTGCCGCTGGACACATTGCTTTCTGTGCCTCAGTTTCTGTATCTATAATGTGAGAATAATTAATAATTCTGACCTTATGGAGCTGTTATAAACATTAAAAGAGATAATGTAAGTAAAGTTAGCTCTGTGCTTGGTATGAAGTTGGTGCATACTGAATATTCATCATTATTAATGTTATTGCTCATATTTTGAAGGTCAGGGAATGTTGAGGACATGAACAGAAACTGGGCCCAGCCCCAGTTCACAGAAAAATTCAGGCCAAATTCTCTGTTCCAGATTTCTCCACCCATAAGGGCCTGGAACAGCAGGAGTCTGTAGCCAGAAGTCACAGGGTGGACCCCTGCTTCTCTCATTCACTCCACCTCCCCTAGCCTTATCCAGTGAGGCAGGGCGTTAGGGGGATGGACGGGTGGGAGAACTCAGATCCTTGCAGCCAGCTGGGCCTCAGGAGGGGCTGCCATGCCAGCCTGGGGAGGGTCTGGAACAGGGCCAGCCCTGAGGGCCCCAGTGTGGAGTACCTTGCCAGGATCTGTTGGGGTGACCTTTATTTTAGCTCCTCCCTGGCAGCTCTTAAGAGGAACATGAGGCAGAGGAGGGGTGGGCAGGTCAGTGATGTCAGCAGTGAGTATTCCCAGCACAGCAGCCCTGGAAGAGGCATGAGGCATTTTTTTTTCAGGAAATGATCATTATTCAACTGACAGGCATTCATTGAGTAAGTCCTGACTTTGTGCCCAGTCCCGTGCTAGGCCCTCAGTGTGATTCAGGAGAGGCAGATGACGCTAGGTTGTGGGCAACGTGGAAGCTTAGAGGATACAGGATGCAAAAATATGTGGATGCAACCAGAGTCCCGTGGCCTGGTTCTCAGGGCACTAGAGTTGCCTCTTGCGTTTGCTACCCATGGCCTGTACCAACTGTGTGTGCATGTGTCGCCCTGTTATTATTGAGGCAGTTTGTGTGCATTGTAGATAATCAGGCCATGCAGACAAGCCATCACAGACCCATCTCTCGGGGATCACTGCCATGGACTCTCAGTGCATAGCTTTCCATTTCCTTATATGCTTATAAGTTGTACTTTTTTTACCAAAATGAGATCATGCTGCATATGCTGTTTCTTCAGTCAGTGATGTCCACCTTCCAGTACAATAACTGTTCATCTCATCAAATTTCCAGTGGGCCCGAAATTGCTCTCTAGCCACTTTGTCTCAATCAGTGCCCAGGCCCCTGCGTTTGTCCGTGGTATTCCTTGAAAGCTGTGTCCAGCCCCTTACCTCCAGATTTGTGATTGGAAAAGCCCCTGGCAACCAAGTCTGCAGGGCGAACCCTGTTTCTCTCATTCACTCCACCTCCCCCTGCCTTGTCCTACTCTTCTGGACCCAAAGAGGGTCCACCCCGTGAGTCTCTAGGGCAGAGACTACAAAGGCAATTAAATCACCTGGAGAATCTGCTATCTTCTAAAATAACAGGCCAATGAACAGGGGTGCTAGGGCGTTTGCTGTTATGATGCAGTACCCTGCCAGTGCCAGTGTTCATAGCATGTCTCTGTTCACAGACTTACATCCGAGATGCCCGAGTATGCTTAGTTCTTACTCCCAGGCCCTGGATCAGGCTAGTGGCCCCTGCTGTCCCCTGCCTAGGTCCAGGGGTATGACGACTATCCAGCTGTGTTCCTAGTGCCCAGAAGCCTGCCCTACAGACCGGTGCTCCCTTTTCCACCTCTCCACCTGCCCCAGGCAGGCTCCATGCGAGGCTAGGGATTGAGAGACCACCTCTTCCTAAGGGAATGCACTCCCGAGTCCCACTCCTAGGATTCTTTGGGTGACTGGCTCTGGTTATGCAACCCGCATTTTGTACAGGGCTTGACAGCTTCCAGAGTGCTCACACAGCGTTTGATCCTCCACGGCAGCCCTGGGAGGTTTGCTTGTTTAGTTGTGCCCTGTTGGAGGCAGCTTACAGGAAACACAATAAAATGGTAAAATGCACACTTAAAAAGCAGGGAAAATATAAGATGAAAAAGGAAGTGAAGATGGGGGGTGGGCTCCTGGAGACGAAAGACATGTGAAGGACACAGGGCCGAGATTATTATCTCCATTTTTATTTTATTGTTGCTGTGTTCTGGATGGAGCACAGCACACTTTGTAGGAACGTGCTGGTCCCGGGAGTCACCTCCAAGGACCACACTCCATGCTAGGGCCCTTGGGTAGCCTCCCCTCACCACCTGCTAGGAGGTGGGCTGAACTAGCCATACACACCAGTGTACTGATGATGAGCTTAGGTCCTGGAGCCCCACAGCCCCGCTTGCCATCTGCATGACCTCAAGGATTGCAGGGTTCATAACCTCTGAGGTTACAGGCCATTTGTAAAATAAGGATAGCATCAGTATCCATCCTGCAGGGTTGCACGAGGTCCTGCGGGTAATGCTCAGCGCAGTTCCTGGCGCACGGCAGGCATTACCTCATGGTGGTTGATCTTTAGTGGTATTATTGATCATTTGAATAATAATAATAATTATTATTCATAGTGTAACTTAAAGGTTTCCTGCCTTTCCTGAAAAGTTTTTCAGGGATGGGCTGAGTGGCCTTCTGGCATAGGCAGAGGTGGCGGGGCAGGCACATCTGGTGTGCAGTGTAGCTAGGAGAGGATACTCCGTGGGCATGGGGTACACAGGAAGGTGGGGTCTGGCCAAAGAGGTCCCTGGAGTCGCAAGGACACATGGGGAGCAAGGGAGACCTCAGAGGGGAGACCTCATGTGTGTGAGACCTTAGAGAGAAGGTGCCATCAGAGAGACAGCCCCAGGGCGGTGGCGGTGTTTCCTGTTGGGGCAAGAGTTGGCCCTTGAGAAAGACTAGCTGACTCGGACTGGCTGCTTAGAGGGAGCAGCTGGCCAAGTGAGCTCCAGGGGGGCCCCAGGTGAGGGGGAGAGACGGAGGCAGAAGTTGACAGAGCCTAAATTCTTATCCCCATGTGACAGGTGGGGCCTCAAATCTCGCCTACTCTGGATGTTTTGCTTATGGTAGGGAAGGTAGTGGTTAGACAGCACAGTGAACTTCCTATCTCAATATTGGAGATGTTGCAGCAAAGAAATGAGGGTGAATATGGAACGCCATCTTTGAGGGCTCTCAGGACCTGAGAAA